GGCTAGCCTACCGGTATTATGTAGGCGAATTGTGATCGCGACGACACAAGTTATTGAGCCTTAAAGCCTTAGATGAAAGTACGATTTTCCGCTATGAACTTTGGCAGACTTTTCCTAAGCATTTATAAAGGAAAAAGTAAAACTAAATCTCTGTTCCTAGTTTAAAGTGCTAATAACGTGTATGAGGCGTTAGATTGACACAATAAGGCAATAGGATCCAACGGTTTATTAAAGTCGTATTCAAATGCAGTGCCATTACGAAAACTCTGACATTTGTCTGTCATTGTAAGTTATCAATTCTTATAAACATCTAAATGGAATTTAATTTTATTCCTATCGAAACATATATTTAGAAAGGTCATTAAAGTCCAAATGTCTAGAACAAAGCTATAGGACAGCCATAAAAGCGATAAAAGGGAAAAATCAGACAGTAAACGATTCTAATTTAGGCCGGTTAGTCGTTTAAATGATCGTGGGAATATCCACTATCGGTTCGGAAGCGGCACTCCGCTGTTTAATGAGAAAAAGGCTCCGGACTCAGGTCAGCCTGATACCGAGCGTTCTGTTTGTGTTGCAAGACTAATGTACTCTGATCACGCGAAATTAGCCTTTAAAAATCTAGAATCGGTTTTTCTTCGTGTAATTTATAGCTGCATTCTTTTAAACAGATACTAGTTTTACAATGTCTTTCATTTTACACTTTTAACAGCAGTGTTTTTAGTTATTTGTACTTTTAGATGAAATTTACAGTTTTGTTTAGGAAATTTACGTGAATAATGTTTAAATTAGTACCTAATTGTTAAATTCGGTCCACAAATAAGGGCTAAAATTGCCTAAAACCGCAGCCAGACGCTGTGTGACCGCATCGTCCGCAAATAATATAATCGATTCTCCGTACATGTTACAAAAATCGATACCAAAAATGTCGTATTTCTTACCTCATTGTAATAAAGTTTCAATATTTAAACAGAAGGCTGTTGTAATTGGGTAACGGTTAATTAGTATATCGAGGGGTCGCTATCGGAATTCCTTTTAGTTAAAGTGGAAATATATTCGCTTTAATATTAAAGCCGTTCATTCGCTGTATGGTTCGTATTAATTATGGACCGATATTTCTTATTGATACGAGAATTTCGAGCGTCTGAAACATAATACGTTTGGTATTTACTAGTGTTAAGTGATGTTATTATATTTAAAGCATATTTTCTTACAGATTAATTTAATTTGCCCGCTCTATAATTTTTCTTAATCATAGATCGATAAATAAAATAAACATATTCCATTTAAAGTGTTCAGTAATTCTAAAACTGTAAACTGTTAGAGCGTCAAATGTAAATGACGTAAAATTAAGACACTTTTAATCAATTTACTGACAAATTACAAGTCTACAGTAAATTTATTCTATGAATCAAATTTGTATAATTGATTCAATTCCGAATTGTATCTTTCTGTACAAGGTATTGAAGCGAACATTGTATTTGACTGAAGAGTTGATGAATTATGTATAAAATAGACATTTACTGGATGAGAAGTAGGAGTTTAACATTAGTCCGATTAAGAACGTGTGTCAAACTGACTGGTTAGCGCCTACAATGATATCTGCCAACAACATAAACATTTGTATTAAAATTAAACACAATTACAATATTACGACTATGTAAATGATTACCAACAATTTTTGTATAATATTAGGAGCAATTTCGTAATCTCATGTGTCTAAAATATTTAATTAGAATCGATTTAGGAGAGTATAGTTTGATAAAATTTGGTTAGACTTAGTAATGAAGGAAGAAGCAACGTTTCGAGTGTCAGGCGATGACGTGCCCAACTATTTAAGTTTCTCCTTTGATTAAGCGAGCGACAAAGATTTCTTGATTAAAATCTTCGAGTCGAGCCACCGCGGACGGCTTTCGAGTGCTTGCCTCGTAGTTTCGTAGGGCGCTTTTGAAATTTAAAAGCATTTCTCAGACGTCAGTAATGGAAGCCGTAACGGGATTTGCTGAGACATTCAAATCGTCATTCTCATTAACCGGACTGTCGCTGATTTGCAGTAAATTTTATAGTTTAAATAATACTTAGTTGCTATTTTATCTGTCAGAATAACAAAGGAAAATTATTCTTGTACATAGTGAACGTTACAAGTATATAAGGTAAAGAGAATTGATGTCTTAAATATCAGAGTGATGAACGTATTAAAGATAGAGGTACCGGTATAATATTCAATAAGAGGAACATTATCTAAGATATTGGACTCATAACCTAAGACATAAAACGGTTACTCCAATTCACCCCAACATGAGGTACGGGGCTATTATTTCCACCTTCAGGGTCGACGTAACGCATAAACACGATTCCCATATCGCCTCAATATTTCTCGACCCACTGATTAGATATGGAAAATAATATTTCGCACGGAGAAATAATATCACGATTTATTCGCGGGGGCCAGATAACGGCGCGAAAGATGGGCCCCTTAATGGTCGGAACGGGTCGAAATTGACCGAAATCGTCCGAAATGGGCCGAGTAGCCCCATCCTAGCCGCGTATTTTTACATATTATTTTAAGGGATCGCATTAAATTACCGGTTTTTTGTGTTGGAGAGTTATGAGGTACAATATTTTTCAAAGGTGTGGCCTCGAGAGCGATTCTTGCCTCCGATCCGGGGTACGAGAGCGGAAAGGGGAATAATTACAACCAGCTTGTGTTCCACTGAAATATTTTCTTTCAGATTTAGTTTCTCGTTCGTTGAAAGCAGTCGGTTCTTTTATCCAAACAGTCGTAACATATTTCTTAACCTCTCGTTTCTTTTCTTGAAATGAATATTCTAAAAGACTATCTACGGTTTTTCTGCTTTTTTTCAATTGTATAAAGAAACAAATATTTAACTTACCTAAATAGATTTAGTATGACCATTAAGAAACTAAATGTATATTTAAATCTTTGAAACTTCATAACATTTTCTTCATATCTATGCTACGATTAAATTATTTTTTACCTCCATGTAAATAGAATAAGCTGTATAACTACTTTCTATTTATGGATAGATATACATAGATTAAATGACATATAGATATAATTTCAAACTATATTAACAGTACCATACCAGCGTATCATATTTCAGCAGGCATGCTTCGGTTTGCAATATTTTTACAAATAATAATTAATAGTCTACACTATTAATTTAAAAATTGTTATATTTATATCATACTTAAATTCATTAGATACATAGGAATACAGATTATATAAAAGTTAGTTTACATTTATACGAATAATTTATAAAGCAGTGTTTATTCGCACAGTGTGTGACGACCTTTATCTAAGTGCGTTTTGGATTAATATAGTAAGCGGTGGGTAATGCAAGGGTTAATAGTACCTTCACCGTCAGACCATGTCCTTTGTTGGAGGATGAATAACTGGAATTAAAAAAAAAACATTTAATGAGTAATTGATACTCTTTGGTGAATAATGAAAAAAATAAATTACCAGTGCAGAACAATTGACAGACATTCTGGCTAGATCGATAGAAAAAAATAGAGAAAAGCACTTCATTGTACTATTACTTTAAGTTAGATTAGATTTAAGAAATTGTAAATTTAATAAATTTGAGAAAACTTGAATTACGTGTTTCTTAACTTTTTCTTATGTCCATATTAAACAGGACTTCGAAGAGAAAAATCGTATAAAAAGCATACCGAAAACGTCGAATATAAAATCAGAAGTTTTCTATGCGAGAGGAAACAAATGCCAGCTTCAGTGAGACCTGAAAATCGGCTCTGCAATCGAATGCAGACGAGAAAGGGACGCACAATAAAAGTTCAGTAAGTGGGAAAAAGTAGGAAGCTATGCGGACACGCCGAGACGTGAAAGGAATTGGAAATGCGAGGCGGCCCCGTCCGAGTTGCAGTTTGCGCCCGTTTGCGTTACGGGTCACTTTTCTTACCAAGTTACTATACCAAATAACGCTAGTTAATATAGACTTGGACTTCGATTTTTTGTAGTTTATGATTGACTTTTGCTGATGTTCATTTAATTAAACAATTACTAAATAATCCTCACTTTAAAAACCTTAAAAATTGTTTATTCCAATACTTTTATAACCGGATAAAAGTAAGATTGTTATTTTATATTCAAAACATGAACGAATAACTTTGGCCATAAGATACTTCCGTTTCACATAATTTAAACAAGAAAATATTCAAAATTCAGCCTTAAATAATATTTTAGTGCTTGTATTAGTCTCTAGAGAAATACTAAATAAAGCTTACAGGTTTCTCGTCCCTCGTGCCTACTTTAAGTAAGATATAAAAATAAATTTAGCCTTTAGGTTGATACAGAAGTAGTGAAAACCTAACAAAGCGATTTCAAGAGGCTTATATACTTAAGCGAGTATTATTTACTTAATAGTAACTTAAAAAGATGAAAATACATAGCGTATAAAATTGTAGAAAATCGAAAATGTTGAAGAGTATTGAATCGTCAGATCTTACACTTAATAACACACTGCATTATTTATTAAGTAAAGTAATATTTACTAGTCTAACAACTTTTAAAGTCTATGTTATAGTAAGTCGATTATGTAACGATGAAAACATCTTACAAAGCTACTGTAACACTTTGCAGGAGATAAATTAAAACATAGAGTAGCGGCATTAAATATACTTTTATCAATATAGCCAATAGTTTACGGACGTCGGAGAAACTGAAGTTTATTAATTGAGTTAGCGGACGGCGGGCAAACTTGGAAATCTTTCGCGGGACTGTTTTTCCGTCAAAGCATAATCAAACTAAGGAATTCTACTTGAAAGGAATATCTTGAAAGGTGGAACAAGACTTTATAGGAGTTGGATTCTTAATATTCACTAAAACTCTGTCTACACTTGATTAGTTCGTTATTTAATTATTAAAGTTAGTTTAATATTTGTAATCTCTGATATTAAAGAGAAAAGTTTAGTAATTCTGTATGCAATTGTACGAAAATCATTAGTTTGTTTCTACTCACTTATATAGCTATAACCGCAGCCATCTCCATTGTGTTGCGACTCACCTGAAAACAAGAAAAAACTGTTAGAAATAAATCTTACTATAGGTACTAACATTATAAATGTTTGATGGATGGATGATTGTTTATTACTATGTCAGTCAGCGTGACAGATCTATTTGGAATAGATGTAGAATACAATCTGAAAGAACACATCATCATCATCATCACCAGCTCACTATACGTCCCCACCGAGGGGCTCGGAGCCTACCCTTATAAGGGGTGACTAGGC